GCGTCTGACAGGCTCAGCGCGCTTGCAAATACACAAGAATCCCAAGATCAACCCACTAGGAATCGAACCTAAGACCTTCCACCAAAGAGGCGGAAGACTTAACAAATTGGAAAAGTGACTTGGGATGAAAGTGAAGCCCCTTAAGGGACATTTCACCCCACCCCAGCATGGTATGTATATTTTAGAAGTACATCCATGATCCGGTGTACCCAGACTCAACTCCACCCGTATCCTTCGGCCACATGCCAAACCTCAACCAAACCACCGCAAGGGCGTCTGACAGGCTCAGCGCACTTGCAAACACACAAGAATCCCAAGATCAACCCACTAGGAATCGAACCTAAGACATTCCACCAAAGAGGCGGAACACTTAACCAATTGGAAAAGTGAGCGGGGATGAAAGTGAAGCCTCTTAAGGGACATTTTGACCCCACCCTAGCATGGTATGTATTTTTTAGAAGTACATCATGACCCGGTGTACCCAGACTCAACTCAACCCGTGCCTTTCGGCCACCTGTCAGACCTCAACCAAGGCACCGCAAGGGCGTCTGACAGGATCAACGCGCTTGCAAATACACAAGAATCCCAAGATCAACCCACTAGGAATCGAACCTAAGACCTTCCAGCAAAGAGGCGGAACACTTGACCAATTGGAAAAGTGAGCTGGGATGAAAGTGAAGCCCCTTAAGGGACATTTCACCCCACCCCAGAATGGTATGTATTTTTTAGAAGTACATCCATGACCCGGTGTACCCAGACTCAACTCAACCCCTGCCTTTCGGCCATCTGTTTGACCTCAACCAAGCCACCGCAAGGGCGTCTGACAGGCTCAGTGCACTTGCACATACATAAGAATCCCAAGATCAACCCACCAGGAATCGAACCTAAGACCTTCCACCAAAGAGGCGATTAGAAAAGTGAGTTTGGATGAAAATGAAGCCCCTTAAGGGACATTTCACCCCACCCCAGCATGGTATGTATTTTTTAGAAGTACATCCATGACCTGGTGTACCCAAACTCAACTCAACCCGTGCCTTTTGGCCACCTGTCAAACCTCAACCAAGCCACCGCAAGGGCGTTTGATAGGCTCAGCGCGTTTGCACATACACAA